AAAAAATCTCTTTTGGTTAAATTTCTCTCTTTTATCTCTGCTCATCCTTGACATACAAGATGTGAAACAGTAAGTCATGGTTCTAAATTTAAGAAGATTTATTTAAAACAAAGCAAAACAAAATCATCAGTGGAATCTAAAAGGAAAAGCACTAGACTTGTTATTCAATAAGCTATTACTTTCGATAAAGATCCCCTGAGAATAGCAGTTCCTGCTAAGGCGCTCTTTGTTATTGGGCTTGATAATTCATTGGAAGAGTCACAGAGAACTTATAGAAAAAACGTAAGTGAAGTAACAATTTTAATAACAGAGAAGGATAGAAACAGAAATAAAGATATACTAAGGGTGAGGTTAGAGAGGGGCCCCAGCACGGGCCCTCAATGTCTAAAAGAAGACTTGTTTTTGTCTCACAGGGGAACCATTTACCCAGGGCTTTCAACCGGTTTCAACTGATTCAGTAATGGCAGATGAAGTAAAACCGGAACGGACCTGAAGTTTTAAAATTTGAGTGATCCGGAATGATAACCAGAACAGGGAAAATTACGAGCTGCAATTGGATTTTTGTCAGGACTGTGGAGGGCAACACACATTCAACGCAGTTCAGCGGGCCACCATCTTTGAATGGAGCACAGCTGTTTCTGACTTTGCTCAAAATCCACTGGGCAAGACAATTGTATGCTCTTCAACGTGTACACTGCCCTAGTTGTCTAAAAAGATATTAACTTTCCAGCAGAGCTTCGACCTGTTTTTTTCCCATTTTGGTTATCGCTCTGATTCACCCAAATTTTGAAAAATCGGTCTGTTCCTGTTTCAATTCCTCCACCTTGACTTAACCGGGAAGAGCTGGTTTGAAGCCCTGTTCTCACCCATCAGGAAACTTTCAAACAGGAAACTCAATGATGTCACTTGGTGCGCTTGGCTATTGATTGCTTCTCTCAGCTTCTCTCAGCTCTCAGCCACCGTCTGCATCTGCGGCTGTCTCTGCTTCTTCAGGTACCATCACAGTTACTGCCTCCATTGCTGCCTGCTCAGTGGGCTGACTCACCCACCACAGCCATCTCTCTTGGTCTTCAGTGTTATAGCCCTTGAGCCATGTTACGGCTCTTTATTTGGGTCTAGGAAGTTCTCAGCACAAGGACAACTTTGGAAACCTGAAAGAGTTAAACAAATCTAAGAGATTATCACATTACCAAATATCCAGGCCAGTGGCACAGGTAACCAAATCCTGCTCTGACATAAAAGTAAAGTTGGAAAGCTGTTGATCTCAGTAACAAAAATCTTACAGTTCTTGTTTTGCTCAGGGTCTTGCCATTTTATATCCCTAGATCAAGTTGTCAAATTGCATCTCTTATGAGTTCAAGCTCACTTACGTGCAGAAATGGAGAAATTAGAACAACAACAAAATAAATAAAATAAAAGGAAACTAAGAAAATGTAAAGAGAATTTTTTGAGTATTCTTTAATCATTAAATTAGCAAAAAGAAAAGAATTCAAAGCAAGGCTTGTTAGTGAGAGGATAGTTTTCTAAATGCCTCCATCTCTTGCTTTAACCTTAAAGCTTGAAAAACTTGATCATAGCTTTTTGTTTAAGGAAGACACTGCTCATACAGGAAGAAAAAGAAGGAAAAGTCCATTCCTACTAGTCCCAGTTTTGGTGAAAGGAAAAAGAGGAAGAAAGTAAGAAGATTAGACACAAGGCTTCTCTTCTCCATTCTTGGGACCAAACATATTGAAGTGTGTGACGTGAGGGGTTAGCAGTCATTGAGAAATATCCAACTAAGCATAGGTAAACCTAAATACGATAAAAATAACGGTCTGCTTTTTTACATTCACAACATGCTGGAATCTAAAGCTGGAGTCTCTAGCCCTCAGCCTAGAGCTACCTCCAAGACTTTGCAGAAACAATGAGGATGAAATGACCCAGGAAGGTGGATATGCCAGAGGCAAGACAGACATGTTCATTACAGTATTGCTTCTAAGGGCAAAAAGGTACATATTGCCTACAAGTTTAATAATAACAATAGAAGTTTAGATAAGTTGAGATACCCCATTTTGAAAGAAAATTTTGTGAGGAAGCTGGTGTTGAATATAAAAAATATTTTATGGTGATGTAAGAGTTTTCTCTTTAATCTGCGTGTCATCCATTGATATTTGAAATATTTGAACTTTAAAGAACTTTTTTTGTAAATAAATCTAAGTGTCCTTCAATAGCATTGGACTTTTTGTATATAAGTCCTTTAAATTTTGCTTGCATTCACTTAAAGTCAGTTCAGAATTTTTAATCTAAGTACTTAATGTGTGGAACATCAGAAAACTTTAGTTTTGAAACTTGTAGAGAATTTTAATTATTGAAAATAAAGCTGACAAATAGAAAGTGTTGAAATTTATTTCTATAAAAGCAAGAGAGGAACAAAACAAAATAAATGATGAAAATTCAAACTGTGTATAAAATTGAATTGTGAAATTATTAACTGTACTTTGGAATATGCCAACCTGTGGAAAGAGACTTAATGAAGCTTCTATTTACATTGGATAAATTTATATTGTTTTAGAATGAAATGAAATAGAGAAGGCCTTTATTTTACAGACTGTAAATTTGGTGAAACTTTCAAAAGAATAAAAAAAAAGATAACTTATTTGATGATTTTTGACTTGTAAAAATATTTGTTGAAGAAAGGTACTTTAAACAGAGGAATAAAACAGTGCTTGTGAAAATATTTGGGCTGAAGTATTTACATATTTTTACATGAAAAATTAGAATTGAGAATATCCTCCATTCATCAAATTTTGCTCTGAACTTACCAAGTATATCAGCTGCTATGAAGAGAGTATGTTCTCAATAAAATATATATATATATAGAAAAAATTCAATTGAAAATGTCAATCATTTCAAGTTTGTTAATTGTAAAATACAACTTTGAAGAAAGATTTCAGGCAATTGTCTGAAAAAATTAAAATAATAAGATCATATTGGAAAAAAAACAAATTCTTCAGAAAATACCAAAGGCATGGTATTAGAGATAGATACAACTAAGAAAATGAGTAAAGTTTGTGAACATATACAAAAAATAATCATTCACTTAGGTTGTTGAGGTCAGGTCACTAATGTACAGAAGGTTTTTTGTTTTGTTTTAATATACATGCCGTATGTTACTTAAATTTTTTAGAGTAAATTTTATTTTTGAAAATAGTTTTTGAATAGTACTATCTTTAGGTACATCAGTATTATATACCAATTTATTGGTCAATAAATAAAGATTTCAAAAACTTTCATAATTAATATTAACTTCCCTTTTTTTCTCAAAATTTTCTGGCTTCAGGAATAAATTTTATCATTACCCCAGATGTAACTTAAGCATTTTTCCATGATCCTACTTTATATCCAGAGCATTGGCTAGAAACAAAACACAATCAGATTTTCAAAAGCATAAGGAAAAGATCATAAGGAGATTTTCTGAAGTGCTCAAGTGGTGGTTAGGGAGTTAGTGGAGATGATAAACTGTTTTTTCTTTTCTTGTTTCCACTTTAAACGATGAGATCATGTTATTTTTACAAGGAACAGTTATGCTAGAGAGAGAGAGAAAGGAAAGTGTTGGGGACTTCCTGGAGAAAGACGTAGCGTGAGCCAGTATGGCTTCATCTGTCAGTGGGGCTCTGAGGACAGCGAAGGTGAAGATGCACGCAGGACATGCCAGCTTCCTGCACATCTCTCCAGCGCACGTGCCACTTCTGCATCTGTCAAAGCATCAGCTGGTCAAGATGTTCTTCTTTCCTTCCCCTCCAGGCACAGCCGAGGTAGCACTGACAAATGAGGTCAGGTTCAGGGGCCGAGGTGAGTGAAGCATTTTATATTTATATCCATAGACACACACTCCTGTGTATGTTCCGGTGACTTCAGGGGACTTTCCACAACCATGGGTGTCCTATGTCTTGCGTGAGGTAACTGCCTGGCCCAGCAAGCTCTCTGGATACAAATCACAGGGTGAAAGCATGGATTAAAGTGCACAGGGTTTCTTTCTCAATAATATTTCCCTCTTCTTACATTTGTTAAATATAATAGTAAAATAAATGTAGCATTTTTTCATAGGGTTTATATTTTCTTTTGTTTTCCTCTCTCTGTCATTGTCAGCTCCAAGTCTGAGGATGCACCGAATATAGTAACTGCATGCTTTCCAGCATGAACTTGGCTGGGGCTTTTATGGATGATTATTCTGATTCATTTAACTTGGGGGAATATACAGAACATCCACCAGTGTTCCTTATAAACAAACAAAGTGCTCAACAGCCCTGTGATAAGATCTGTAGTAGGGAGAGGTTAGATGGAGGTGAGAAGGATAGATAGAGTAGAATGCAAACTAAGATTTTGCTTCTGTCTTTTATGAATTTAGAGGGTTGTGAAATAAATTCAAGATATAAATAATTAACTAAAATAGAAGACAGAGTTTAAAAAGAAATAAGCAGAGTTTATAAGAGAAGAACATGAATTCCGACTGGGAGGAAGTCTTTGTGGAAGAGGAAAGATATGAAGTGGGTCTTCAAGAACAGCCAGATTTTTAAGAGATAACACAGCATGGTGGTTATCCACACAGACTCATGAGTCAGCCTTCTTGGGTTCATTTACTTGCTGTGTGACCCTGATCAATTTGCTTTTCTTTCCAGGGAGTTAGCCTCCTCAGCAGTAAAATAGGGATATTAATAGTACCCACCTCAGAAGGCTGCTGTAAAGATCAAAGGAGTTATTAGAAATAAAGCAATAAGAACAGTGCTCGACTACTATCCAAAAGGTTAGCAGTTCGAACCCACCCAGAGGTGCCTGGGAAGACACACTTGGCAATCTGCTTCCAGAAGGTCTCAGCCTTGAAAACCCTGTGGAGCAAATCTCCTCTGCACACATGGGGTCGGCATGAGCTGGAATTGATTCAAGGACAACTAACAACAACAACAATATGTGTATGTAAATGATTACAATTAATTGTGAATGATTTCAAAAATTTTAAGTTAAAAACTGATATACAAGCAAATCAATAACAGCACGAAACTAAATGCTAATATGCCAACTGTCTTAGTCATCTCGTGCTGCTATAACAGAAGTACCACAAGTGGATAGCTTTAACAAAGAGAAGTTTATTCTCTTACAGTCCAGTAGGCTACAAGTCCAATTCAGGGCGTCAGCTCCAAGGGAACACTTTCTCTGTGGCTCTGGAGGAAGGTCTGTGTCATCAATATTCCCTTGGTCTGGGAGTTTCTCTGCGCAGGAGCCTAAGGTCCATAGGATGCGCTCTGCTCCAGGCACTGTTTTCTTGGTGGTATGAGGTTCCCATGTCTCTCTGCTCACTTCACTCTTTTGTACCTCAAAAGAGATTGGCTAAACACACTACCTAATCCTGTAGACCTCATCAGTATAACTGCCACTAATCCATCTTATTACATCATAGTGATAGAGTTTACAACACATGTGGAAATCACATCAGATGACAAAAGGTAGACAATTATACAATACCGGTAATCATGGTCTAGCCAAGTTGACAGACATTTTTGGGGGACACAGTTCAATCCATGACACCAACCTTAGGAAAATATGCTTCTTATTTAAAGAAACTTCAGGTAAACACAATAGTGAATAAGACTTCCTATCATTTATTTCTGTGTACATATTTCATTTTCATTTAATTAATTTTCCCAAAATTTACACTGAATTTTAGAATTACGTTATCTCAATAGGTTCAATGAGCTCATGTTTGTAAAAAAAAATTTTGAGACATGCATCTGTGTTCTTTGAGAGAATAACAAATACATTTAGTACAGATTTATAGATTTTATGCTGTGCTCCCCCAAAAGCATTTATTCTGTTATAAAAAATTTCAAACATACAGAAAACAATATAATAATCATCCAATATCCACTACACAACACCAAGATAAATGGAGAAAAAGTTGAAGTGGTCAGTTCAAAAAAATGGAAGTTCATCCAACTTCAGCTTGGATTAACAATCCATGTTCATGGAAGCAGCAGTCAAGTAATCAAACAATGCAATGCATTGGGCCAATCTGCTGCAATAGACTTCCTTAAAGTTTTCAAAAGCAAACATGTCACTTTAATGACTCAGGTGTGCCTGACCCAAGACATGGGCTTTTCCACAGTGTCACAGGCAT